GAGAGAGAGAGAGAGAGAGAGAGAGAGAGAGAGAGAGAGAGAGAGAACGAGAGAGAGAGAGGACCACACGGGACGCACAATTGGGCGCAATATGGAATCGATAGCGACGATCTTGCAAACACGTTGGCGTGCAGTTGATTGCGGACAATCTTGGTTAGCAAGCGGGCCTTTGCTCTTCAAGCTTGCATACGGGCATGGCCGTTGCGGGCGGAACGATGAGTAAAGTGTTCGAAGTGTAAGGTACAGCAGCGAGTGCGGCACCAGCGGCAGCGCTAGATAGTGACAGACCGGCAGCGTCCTGTCGAATGGGTGTCGAATGTGCTCTATTTCATGCGGCCCTGGTCTGGTGCGCAGGGAGAACAATGCCAGAGTACAAAAGGATACAGGATGCCAATCGGTTGCACTCTGAGCCAAGGCAAATGCTAACCTGTGGTACGCCTATTTAGACGACGGAAAGGTAGTCTGAAAGCGGCCCAGAGGAATCGGTTTGCAGCAATCCAAATTTAGATACAACTCGCTGTATTGATTTCCGTAATTCCGCCAGTGGAACACCAATGCCCCCCGCATCCGATGCTCGCGACGGTCAATCTTTTCAAAGCTTGTGGATACACCGAGCTCCTGCATAACCAGGCGGCGGGGAAGGTAGTCAATCGGCTCGACCAGATATGTAATGGGATATTTCTCACCTCAATCGTGCCAAAGACAATAACCTCATCGTCCAGAGAGCCTTTTCCTCGGTCAAACTTCAAGTCGGAAGGGTTGCCGCCGAGCGATATTTTTCCGTGACGTGCTTCAACAGTCAGCTTGACTCGTCCACCCCCCGCGTCCTGATCCTCCACCATGATGCCGTCCACTGGCACAACCTCGTCTTCAATACCTTCCAACAGGAGGCCTTGATCTCGCGTGACTCGGGGTGGGTTGTTCACTGAGCTGACATGTATCGGGATCGAGAGTGAGTCAGATAATGCTTCCCCACCCCCGGTGTTGCCCATGTCGTTTACTTCGACCTTAAAAGTCGTGGCTCCGGAGAACTCGAATGCACCCCGGAACGTCAAGCCCGCCAAGGCGTTGTTGATGTTTGTCACAGATCCTTGGAAGGTTTTGCTCTCGTCCGACGAATTTTTGATGAACAGTCCAAGCTTGGCACCGAGCTCTACGCTGCTACCCTTCTCTGCTGCTGACACTGTGACCTCTAGCACACTGCCGGCAGTGTCCTGGGCGTCTACATCGAATACCTTGATTCCGCCCAATACCGTCGTTCGACCTTCGACCGCTGTGAACTCGGACGGACCTCGTAAGAGAGGTGGGTCGTTGACGGGGGTGACCAGAACTACCAAAGTTCTTGGTACGCCGGGGTAAGGGTCGCCACCCTGAGCCGAGTCTTGCTCGTCCACAAGGACACTGAGGGTTTCGAAAGTGTCCTGTCCTAGAGAGTTCCAGTCGGGCGGGGCCGAGTACCACACATTCAACAGAGCAGCGTTTATCTCGTCCTGCGTTCCTGGTAGGGTGAGGCTACCCCCGACCTCGACCAAGGGTTCAACAATGTCCACTTCGTTCGACCCGTTCATCCACAGGCGGCCATATTTTGCGGACAGGTGCACGGAGACAATGGCGGAGCGCTCGAAGCCACTGAGCACCAACGGTATCTCTACCTTGGTGTCTTCGTTTACTCGCCAAGGTTCAGCGGTTGGGAAATCAACCTGCCGGCCGTGCAACGGACACGTTGTGTAACTGGTCTGGCAATACAATTTACACGGACTTCCAGGGAATAGCACATGAAAGCTCCGTACGTGTTCCAAGGTGCTTGTGCAGCAGTTGTGCAAACCATGTGCGATGTGACTGTTGTCTTGCAGTAGTCTGCAGGGTCTATCCTCTCGTCCGAGGGAAACAGCGACTGGAACTGTACGTAGACTACACCGTAGACTACAGAAGCGTGCTGTACCCGTACCGACTCTACACAACACGCACCTACGACAGCATGCATATACCGGGCACGTTTTCCGAGGTCCTTTATCTCACCAGCCATGCCGAAACAAGCTGTAAATATGCTGTTGCCACCCCTGCCGCAATGATCCGAGCCCCTGATGACGCCATCTTCGCACACCGACCCCAAAAAGCCGTGACGGGAGCACAGTATGCCAGGCGATGGCAGCAAGGCACCCTATATCATATCCAAGGCAGCCTACTTCTACCAGTGAGCCTTGACACAGAATGGCAGAGTCGTGTGCTGTTGGATATGACTTGGATCCGGCTCTGAACCGGTGGGGACGTACGGGGCACCCGTGTGCGGCGCAACTCCAAGTCCCCGTTCTGTAAATTGCGCCGCGTCTGCCAGTCTCGCGACTCGCGCCTCGGGTTCCCGCCCACCTTCCTTTATGTAACTTGCAACCAGTGCTGGAGGTTTGGTGCTCTCCGCTTGTCCTGCACAAGATTGCGACTACCGATCGTGTCCACGTGGAAACAATGCACTCGTTCCATGCTGCGGCGGTTTGCCTTTCGATTGTCCAAGCATCCGGGTTTGCATCTATTGGTCACTACCATCGGCCGCATCCGCAGCGACCAGGAAGTCATGCGCTGGGAGCGACCGGCGTCCTCGAGGAACCCCCACGAGCGGGTCCCTTGGTGGCCTTGGAGTTTTATAGTGGGATAGGTGGGCTGAGAGTATCCCTGGATAAGGCATTAGAGGCGGTCAGCCTTGAAACAAGCGTGGGCAGCTTCGAGATCTCGTCTGTTGCCAATTCGGTGAGACAGGAGCGTCCCTTCCGAATGTGTACAACAGCAGTAGCACTCGTAATCCATGACCAACATAAAACAGTAGTGTTTGGACGATTGTACAATACGCATGCCTCAATCCAGCGAATCAAGCGTAGCGCCCCGTCTGTGACGCTCGTCTCACACAGGAGAGCCCCTATGGCGGTGGACGCCTGCAACTATGCTACACTTTTTTTTTTTTGCTCCCATCGTTGAACTCTGTCGTCTTCTGCCCTTCTGGCCCCTATCCTCTACTTATGCCAGCTAGACGACCCAACCGGGGTCACATAGGAGGGGGGGGGCTGGACCCCCTCCTGCGGTTCCTGATATATTTATTCCGAGAAGGGTACAGCAATCTCTTCCCTCGCGACTTATGAAGTCGATCAAGTTTACGAACAACGAGCTTTGCAGCGCGTCGCTTCCAACTTAAACCAGGATTTAATTAGCGAGAATTAACTCTCTGTCGGGACTCGAACCCATGACCTGGCCCTCGGCAGGCTGCGAGGCTGCCCATATGTATACGCACAACGCACAACATCCTGCCATACAGATAGCGCCTGAATCCCTTTGGGTCTACCTCTTTCTTTTTTTGCGGCAAAAAAAAACGGGAGGAGAGAGTGCGAGGAGAGACAGAAGTACAGCAGAGAGAAGACGAGTCTACTTCTGTAAACGCAACAGCTGTCTCCACCCATAGGCCATGAGGGCTGCCCGCGACAGGACGGTGGAATCAGACAGGATCAAAGAAGGGTTGATGCGTGGTCGCGGTGCGGCCAGTAGCGCAGTTTTGGCTTGTAGACCTCGAAAAGATCAGTCGTCAAGCCGCCTGAACTACACTATCTTCAGGATATTCAAATGATCAGTGAAAATGATCATTGAGAGGGCTTGTAGACCCATAGCTGGTTCTTGTACTTCTGTACTTCTCTGTCCCCTCCGCAATGTGAGCCCTGCCGGCTCACTACAGCTCCTGTGATTTTCCCACATTTCCCACAAGCACGCAAGCACACACCAGCACACACCTACCTTTACATCAGTGGCTCTCTAGGTTCGGGCGAGGGTATGTGTGGGGCTATGCTGAGTGTATTTGTTACTACCTACTCTGCTGTTGAATGTTGGACTCGTCTATACGGCTGCTGCTGTGTAGAATAGCCGCTGACATGATGACTGTGCTGGATCTTGGGAGTGTACGATTTTCGAATTTGGAGGATAGCATACTACGATATCCTGGCCCGTTTGGGCTTGAAGTGCCCCTTTTCGCTGTCCTCCTGTCTTTGCTTGAGTGGCTTCCTAGATTCGGGCGAGGGCATGTATGTGGAGCTATTGATGTGAGTCTCTGTGAAAGGATATGGGGAGAGATTCATGGTGGTATTCGCATTTGGAGCAGTGTGCGTTTTNCATCAGTGGCTCTCTAGGTTCGGGCGAGGGTATGTGTGGGGCTATGCTGAGTGTATTTGTTACTACCTACTCTGCTGTTGAATGTTGGACTCGTCTATACGGCTGCTGCTGTGTAGAATAGCCGCTGACATGATGACTGTGCTGGATCTTGGGAGTGTACGATTTTCGAATTTGGAGGATAGCATACTACGATATCCTGGCCCGTTTGGGCTTGAAGTGCCCCTTTTCGCTGTCCTCCTGTCTTTGCTTGAGTGGCTTCCTAGATTCGGGCGAGGGCATGTATGTGGAGCTATTGATGTGAGTCTCTGTGAAAGGATATGGGGAGAGATTCATGGTGGTATTCGCATTTGGAGCAGTGTGCGTTTTTCTAATTTTGGCCGTTCCAGGGACCTTGATATTCCCCGCTGGCACTAACGTCTTTTCATTGGTCACCGGGTAGCGCGGTCGATGCGATTAGTAAAGATACACCTACCTATTGACTTGGCAACACCTGGCGTGGAGGGATACAGGGCGGCAACTCAATGTCATTCTACAACACCAGCATTTACAAATGATCAACCAATGATCTGTCAGGACGCCTGTAGACCCAAAAGGGTTAAGAACTGCTTATATTGGCCAAGGCTCGGTGCTTGTTGGCTGCCTCAAATTGAGCACCTGTTCTTATTTTCAAAGTTCGTATTTCGAGCAGGCATGTCCGTTTGGTACACGGGGTTCTTGTTCATAGTTCTACGCCGAGGGCCTCATTCAGAAGTTGTTGTTTTTTTGGGTGGATTCAGCCTGACACTTGAGAACAGCGTGTTCATATGCATAAAACAGAGTATATTTTTTGAACGTCGCTCAACAGAGACCTTTGGAATCGAGTTAAATACAGACGCGGTATCGCCTGAAACAATGTTGCATCTGAGCAAACACGTTGAACCATTTCGAGTCACTCACGGCATGATTGTCCTCCCGGCCCTATCAACTGACGCCCGTCTTAGCTACATTGCGACCTTCACCCTGCTCTTCGAATGCCGGACCTCATCCCTGCTCTACGGCGTGCTCCCCTCAAGCAAAGCCCACGACCCTACCACCGCACCCGCATCTCCACTGTGCTTGTCCGACGGTACTGGTCTACATGTAGCTCGAAATGCACACGGTTGTCGCAAAACGTTTCGGGTACGCTCCTGAGATTGCCGAGTAATCAGCTCACCAAGTCAGCCCATGCTTAGTTTTACGAGTACTCCACATACAGGAACGATTTGCCAAGAGCAGCGGGTATAGACGCTCAATTTCGAAAACCGGTGGGTGCGACGACGGAAAAGGTGTCGGAAAGCTTTCGTCGCCCCGACGTCGACTCGATGGCCTCCCACTCTGACTTCGTGAGCAATTGCCAGCAATGACATGTTCGTTTTTTGATGGTCTCTTAGTGTCGATCAAGAATTACACCTCTTTGCAACTTTGACAGCTGGCAGAGCTCTTTCAATATTTTAAGAGGTGAAGACATGGCTCTCGTGCATGGCACGCAGCGTGGCAGGTACCCCAATGACACGCGACGAGGGGTATGCCTTGTACAACAAAGCTAGCACCTACCCCCCCTCCCCCCAACCGACCAAGGAAAAATGTGAAAGCGGCTCCAAGCGCGAGCACCGGGTTCATGTAGTTGCGTAATGTCGTACAAGGAGACGAGATTTTGCGTTGCTGAGCCTCGGCAAAAGTAGAAGGAAGATACAGGGAGATGTTTGAGGCATGGAATGCCAGCTAGGAGAGAAGACGGTAGCTGTACTGTGCTGGGGCATAGAACGTGGTGAGTTGACGAGGCGGGAAGTGACATCGATAGGATAGACGGGCTAGGGACGCCATTTTTGAGACACCTTTTTTGGTAAAGTAGGAGGGAACGATTGGCCATCGGTCTTTGGTCCTGTGGGAACGATACTCAGTCTTCTCGAGGACGCGTGGGCAACAAGATATGCAAGACACAAGAGTNCCTCCTCGTCGCTGATCTGAAACTGCCGGTGGGTGGGGTCACCGGACGCCCCGTGAGTCACCCCTCAACCCCTTCATGAGTTCTTATCTTGCAGCTGCCACTTTTTGGGGGTCTCTTCTTATCCGTCAGCGCCTTGTTACACCACACCACAAATACGGGTTCTCGTTCTTTATACCACGTCGGGACTAAGCACGTGTTCTATGGTCAAGTCCTCAATTTTTGAGTTTTTCGAGGCTGCATTTCTTAACTGCTACGTTCTCAAGTGCGAGCGCCATCTGTAATCTAATGACTGCAGCTTGACGTCGGCAACCGCACGAACCCTTGTAACATGCATGTGAGTTTGCTGACGATACCATACCTGACATACTTCCGGTACCATTCAAGGACGGCAGCAAAGATCGTCATGGTTGTTGCCGCGAGTCTCCACGGAAGCATGAAACTACATGTACCCTCGAAGCCGATCCAACTTTTATTTAAATAGGTGTATGAGCACAACTTTCCTGGGTGCAGCTTGACGAGACGATCGATCGAGCATCTCTCGGCTCAAGATATTGAGGTTGATGCGGACATATGGCTTCTAAGGTTGGTTCGTTGTTCTCTCTCGTAGTTGATAAGTGAAGAGACCTGTATTGTACGAGCTCGTTGGTGAGCTGAAAGGGCGCTTTGCATAGTTGCTGAGAACCCGACTGCTTCATCTGTAGTCATTTACATACAGTAGATTTCTCTACAGCCCCAGCGTACTCGGGTAACCGTTGGGAATCTCCGAAGACTGTCCCACACAGAACATCACAGAACGTGCGCCTAAGCGCCAGCTTTCACTTTCTTTCTGTCCGTTTCGCTACGTCTACGTTTGGGCAGCCCGCCGTGCCAGCCTTTCTGCAGGGTTGGAAACAAGATGGACGAACAGGACAACCGCTCGGTCAGCTTCCTGCATCTCCTGTCGCTGCTCAAAACCATCAGAAAACCGCCGTCGTTCCTGTTCCTAGAGAACGTGCAAGGGTTCGAAGGTTCACACACCCATCGTCGCCTGCTCGAGGTGAGGGCTTGCATGTTCGAGGTCACATAATTGCCCATATACGTGACTGGTTGTGGTCCAGTGGAAGAGCACACAGACCATATTTTGGCCATGTATGCGTGTACGTCGCCCTGGTACTGGTCTCCTTACATGAAGTTTGCGCAAGGTTTCATGTTTGCCGTGTACATGGCTGGTTGTTCTTTGGTGGAAGAGTACACAGGCCGTATTTGGCCATGCATGTATGTATGTCGCCCCGGTGCTGGACTCCTTGCATAGTTCGCGCATTGCCTGAAGTGCGGTGATCCTGTCATTGAAGATGCTGTATTCTTTAACCTAGTGCAATCTTCACTTCCTATTCCGCTGCTTGTGTCCCTGCCCACCCTAGACTTTGACCGCTCGAGGATTCGACGTAGAGCAGTACTTGCTTTCGCCTAGTCAGCTGGGCATTCCAAATAGCCGTCTGCGGTACTACTGCCTTGCGCGGAGGAGAAATGCCGACGGCAAGAGGGAGGCCACCGACGTCAAAGAGTCGCTTCCCCAGGACATGGCAGCCGTGCCCTTGCGTCCGCTCTCCGAGTACTTGGTGAGAGGTGTTGTCCGATGGGGTGTCTTGTCGCGAAGGCTTGTGGAGCCAACATCACTGTGCTGACGAACCAAAACCTACTGAGTAGGTACGAGTGGTTTTGGTACCGTCTCTGTACGGGACACAATCTAGCATGATAATTCGTGTGCTCTTGACCGAGTCAACAATTGTAAGCGACAACACAGCCTACGTTGTTAGGGATACAATTAGCAGACCACCGTGCCTACCTCGAGCGGCGAAGTGTTTCGCCAGCAAACAGG